GGGTTCTAGTGGCCTTAGTCTGCCCACTAGAGTGTGCACATGGTGTCCGACATTTTTATGCTGGCAGATGTTCAGTTATCAGTCAGGTGATGATTATCACGAGATCAGTATAAGATCATGATTTTTCAGTACCGGTATCAGTTTCAGTTTCAGTTCAGTATCAGTTCAGTTATATATGCCAGGATCATGATATTGTTATTATTTTCACTGTTTACTCCAGTATGAGTTTCTGCGGAGCACAGTGGATTAGTGCTCACGCCCCCACATTATTCATGTTTTTTTCAGGTCATAGGGACGGAGCCGAGGAGTGAGCTGACAATCGGTTCAGGAATTTTGTATATATGTTTAAACATGTTTTGGCTACACTATGTTTTCCGCTGACGATTTCAGTTTATCAAACCAGCTTTTATTCCGACTTTCAGTCGGTAATATATTACGTTAAACTGTTGGTTTTTATAAAACTAAATAACGATTTTTCAAATATAGTCAGATTTTACGGTAGCACTCCGAATCAGTATTTCGCAAAATTAATGCTTTTATTTAGAAAAATTTTGCGAAAATCGCGCTCTGATTTTCATTAAATAGCGGGGTGTTACACATAATCATTCTTATTTCTTTCACTATCTTTCATTCTCATATGATCCCTTCTATATATATATATATATATATAGATTAATTGATAATATAGAGAAATTCTTATAAACAATTAGTAAAAAGTGAACATATAATTTATAAACAAACATGCTCTTATGCAGTACATTTTCATGGTTCTCCCGACCAAAATTTCACCATAACGTGGTCGCAAAACAACATTTAGGGGTTGTATTCAACTGATATTTGTAAAGAACTTTTTAAAACTTTTTAAATTTGGTGACTTTTGTAGATTTATAAAACTTTCATGATTTTGATGAACTTTTTGAGACTTTCAGATAATTAATATTAGTGATCTTTTAAGATTTTCACAATGGACTTTTAAGACTTTCAGAAAAAAAAATGAACAAGATAATATGTAGTGCTGGATTTAGATTCATATCAAGTAATTAAGTTGAAAGCTCATAAGGCACCAAGCATAAATATTCAAAACCATAACAAAGTAGGCAAGCATAATAATTCAAATCCACAAGCATAATAAAAATTCCTAATAGAACTCAAAGCCGAAGCCGCCTGCACCATTATCCACCACTCAACGGCCTAGGAAAACATGCGTGAGCACATTCTTGGTCTCCAATGAAGCCTTCAACAACTTCACAGCCTACGACAGTAAACACGACATAATTACTCACTAATTTATTCCCAAACAATTAGGCTAGTTAATAATTGGACAATAATTACATATACTAACCTCGGTCATGCCCAAACTGACCACCTTCTCCTCCAAAGCCCCAACTTCCTTAACATTGAATTTGTTAAGCAGAGTAATGCTTGAAATAGTGGACATGGGGTTGACCACCAAGTCATCCATCACCATATAGGTCACCACCCCCTTCACGAACCCACTTTCCAATTCCAGCCCAGGTTGGGCCACATAATCCATCAACACTAACATCATAGTGTTGCAGTCTGGACAGATTGGGGTAGGGACCTTGGCAAAAGAATAGCAGTCTCCTTCACACGTGTACAACTTCATCTCCGTAGATTCTTCATTAGTCGACAGGAGAGGAACACTCATACCCGAAAATGGGTAAGCCGGTTTTAAAAGCGCGTCTTTGTTCTGGTTGGGCTGCATGTAGGACTCGTTCAGGTTTTCTATGCTGTCATAGAGATTCCCGAGCGAGCCCACCATTCCTTGTTTGCCCATCAGGCTGATGAGGTTGGCAACAGGCATGGAGAGTATGTAGAAGAGAAAATCCACCATGTCCTTGCCGGCCTCAGCGAACAGGACGCGTTTTGCTTTGGTGTCAATGAGGAGCTTCATGCTTACAGAGGATTTCGCCATTTTGATTTGATTGATGATGATATGCGTAGTTGCTGCCTTCTTTTTTTTATTTTTTGGAGGAAGTAGTTGCAATGTTACAGATTTACTGAGTATGTGATTATATTTTAAGTGTTTTTCGGACTTCGATCCATTGGCTGTTGGAGTACGAATTAGATGACAGTGAGTGCCTGCTGTTTTGTGGCTGGTTTGGCGTTCCAAGTGCCCAAGGTTGGTGTGCGCGCTTTGGAAGAGAGGTGAAACAAGGAGGTGCAGTCATGCCATTGGAAGCTGATGAAATCTCGTGGATCAATATCTAATTACTCTATATAGTGAAGTGAATTAATGTTCATGGATCAATTAACACATTCGTATTAGCTTAGATAATGTTTAGTAGTTGTTACTTTGATATTTAATTTAGAGAAATGCTATTTAAATGTATGTATTACCCGTAGAGTGCGTTCAACTGTGTTACAACACAAATTAATTGAACTTTTAAATTTATGTAGCAACACCAAAATTAATTGAAATAGCGGAAGCACAAGTTAACAGATATAACTCTTTGGGAGCGTTTCACTACCCCATCTCAGAGATCTTCCATTGATAAATCGATCGTGCACACTTGTAATAGTCTGGACTTACAAAACTAGAATTCTCTTCTAGCCTAGTCACACCTACACTCGTTTCTACCAACTATTTCTCCTGCAGCGTCCCGCGTACTTCTCACTCTCGAATCCCTCGAGTAAAACTCAGTACTTAATCCCTACGTACTAGAAACAAAGTGTTTGAATATAAATATGAAAAACAAAAAACAAAATGAGTTCAGTTATTCGACATCGTAAGAACGTCGAAAACTGACTAATGAACTAAAAGGAATAATTAAACTATAACTCTCACTTGATTGCTGAATAATACGTAAATGTCGATGATCTAGCAACCTTCAATTGATCTACAAGTATGGTATATATAGTTTCCTTAGACGTGAATTTTTAACTAGGAAGATAATATTTAGTAGTTGTTACATCGATACTTCTTAAGTTAACTAGTAAGATTCACGTGCTATGCATGTGATATATTTTTATTATAAGATTTAATTTAATAGTACAATCTAATTTTCTTTCCCTTATTTAACAATAAATGATGAATTTGGATGATAAACAATAATAAATTGTATTGAATAATAAGGTATAATATTTAATACTATTAACCAAAATCTATGTCAAATAAAATTAAATAAAAAATTATTGGGATGAAATTTAAAATAATATAAGTACTTTTTGTGCAATTTTAAATTTTATAGAAATCTATGTCGTTTTCGATTTTATTATTTAACAATATCGTCATGATGTTTAAAATAATAATCGGTATTATTGTCAACATAATATAGTTTTTTAAATAATCTTCATTATATACTAGTAAAACACACATGTATTACACGGGTGCTTGTTAAAAAATTATTCTTAAATTTTAAAATTAATGAGAAAACTATATTAAATTTAGTTTACTCTTTTACAAAAAAAAATATATTACTATATATTTTAGAATGATATGTGTTACTTATGACTTACATGTGTTATATTATATTAGTTTTTATAACTTATATCATATAACTACTTGAAATATAAATATATTAGTTGATAAATAATTTTATTTTTCTAATTAATATTAAAAATAGTTTTATTATTGTTACAAAGATAAATATAAATTATTTTTTTTATACATACAATATGGATGTTAAATCGAAACTCATCAAAAGAAGATTAATTTGATATATTACATATGTAAAACTGATAAAAAAAAAATACAAAAGTTACTAACTTTTAAAATATATATACAGTTCAATAGTTATAATAAGGAATGATATTAAAATACAATTAATACATGTAACATGAGCATAAATAATCAACATATTTATGGCACGAACCTAATTATTTTTGGTTTGGAATTAAAATAAAATTTACTCAAGCCTAATAACGAAGCATGTAATTTTGCCACATAGGATTTCGAAGAACCAGAAGCAGCCACGTAGGCTCAGCGCGTTCTGTATTATATATAGGGGGATTATGCTTTCAACTCTAAATTACGCCTGCAATAGCACAAACAAGAGAACAATTATACAGACCTAGTTATCTTTTGAATACTTACACAATTTCGAGGAAAGGAGTGCAAAATAATGTAATGGTAAACTTGTAGTTGAGTCATCAACATTTGACATTACTTTGATACTATAATTCAATTGTATCAGTGATGTGTGAAAATATTTGTACCCTTCTGGAACTGTGGGATGATGGTATCAACATCTTATACGCCAAAGATGATAACATGGACAATTTCCACTAAGCAACACACTTGAGGCCACTACCAAAAATAAAGGTGATATTACTTGCAATTGTGTATTGAAGTCGGATAAATAAGCTCCTACACATTATCAAAATCTCAAAAGAAAACAAATTCCATTTTTTTTTTTGTTTTTGTCTCCTTTCTGCAGAAGATGCCAGCCACGACCGCTCATGTCGGGATCGCGACTAAGACGCTGCTGCGAGTGGTCTCCGGCGCCGCCGTGAGGGGAGCTAGAATCCGGTCAATCGCGACCATCGACGGCCGCCAAATGCAAGGTGCGGTGCTGCAGTTCCAGATGGGCTCGCCGGTAAGCTCGGGTCTCCGGTCGGCCGCGACCGCCACCCATATTGATACACTAAAGCGGCGGACATGGATGACGGCGGGGCTAGAGCAGCGGATATGGATGTGCCGACGGTCTGGACCGTCCATCAACGACAGCGACAAACGTGAACAGTGCGACGACGACCATTGTCTGGAATGGGGACGACGAAGATGGAGGCGGAACAGACGTGTGTCTGGGAGGTTGTCTGGTTTGTGTCACCAGAGAAGACGACCTCTCGTCGTGGGATTTCAGAGGCAGGGGCGGATGTGAAAGGCGGTGAAGGGCACTGGTATCGGCCGGCGACGAGCGGTGAACGGCGACGGACTGCGGCGACGCTGTGTAGAATGTCAGTGGCTGTCGGGCTTTGACCAATTCAAGTGTGTGTATATGTGTGTGTGATCGTTGGAGAGAGACACACACACACAGAGAGAGAGAGACAGAGAGAGAGAGAGAGAGAGAGAGAGAGAGATTACCTGGGGGAATGGGACGGGTCACGGGTGTTTGTGTTTATTAGTTGGTAGATTACTATCAATGTGAGGTGGGGTCCACTTTTTTGTGTGTGGTGAAAATTACCCCAATCCCCTTAATGAATGTATACTTTATTTTAGCCATTAGATCATCCGATCTAATGCTTACAATTTATTCTCATTTCATTCCTTGAGACACGTTCTCATGTAAACTCATCCCTATATATATATACTAGATTTGCTCACGCCGTGCACGCACGGCGGTCTAACACCCCGTGTAAAACTACAGTAGAAAATTATCATAAGTTGTTGCAGCTTCATATGTTACAATTGTTCACATATATTGTGTCTTTTTTATTTTTATGGTAATATTTTTCTGAAAGCCAGTATGTGCGCATACATCCCCAAAGTAAAATCGTGGTCAAAGTTATCTGCCTACGATTTTGTCTATTGATTAATAAACATAATACTCATGATTTTTTTTATCCATCTCACACTTGTCAAGTGTGCTCCTCCTGTGACAGTGAACTAATTAATAATTTGTATTTAAAAAAAATTCTAAAACAGTATCCTTCAATTAAAAAAAAAATTGAAGGATAAAGTGTAATTTTTATGTAGAGAGGATTGAAGAAACAGTGTAAGAATACGGTTGTCTCTTAGTTTATCTCAAGAGTTAAGGAAACTCATTTAAACGTTGTTTTTTTGTCGAAATTTGTAAATATTTTTTTTTTTTTTTAAAAGGTAAAACAAGTAGTGAAGAATTGAGCCGAAAGAAAAGGAATAGGAAGTAGTAAGAAACAAAAGAAAGAAAAACAGAAAATAGGAAATAGTAAGAATAATAAGTGTCATTCTTACTAAATTTCAGACTCCCACCACCAAAAAAGAGCTTCTCACAGTGAAATATAGCTCTGGATCAAACAACCTAAAATATAGAACTTATTACTTTACAACAATAAGAAAAAAGGCCTCGCCTCTATCACCAGCTAATAACGAACAAGCATAAAATACTTACAACACATAGTTCCCTCAGTATAACCCAAATCAAAACCATAAATTATGTGTCAACATAAAAATATAAGAAAGTGCTTAATATCCAAACATCATCACAAACAATCCATTATTGAGAACAAGTTTATGTTAAACGGCAAAAGTAACGAGCCCTGCAAAATTTCATACGTAAGTACAACCAAAATACCTCGACAAGTTAGAGAATACTTAATGCTAGTTGTATACGACTGAGAGTAAGTATTCAAGTTACCTCTGAAGCTTCCTGACAAATAAGGATAAGTACAATAGTAATGATGTATATGATAATAAACCAAACTAATTAGCTCAAAACATTGAAGCACAAACATTCATTCACTTTACCTTTTTTTTTTCTATAAATAAACCAAACAACAATTCCTAGATGTTTGTAATGAGAGAGTAAAATATTTCAAAGAACTTAACAAAAGAATAAAAATCAAAGAGAAAATGAGTGTAATTGAACCTAGTAACCAAAGCATTTCTTCTCAAATATGTCAACGATATCACTATCCAACAAATATTCAATAGTCATTGGCAAGTTTATCGTAGTGTTTCGATATTGGGCCTAACATGGCAAAAAAGCTGAAATACAAAATCCAAGATACAAAAACATGACTTGAAAAGTGAAAACATGAAGCTTTTGTTCAAAATCCAAGATACAAAAACATGATTTGAAAAGTGAAAACATGAAGCTTTTATTCAAAATCCAAGATACAAAAACATGGTCTGAAAAGTGAAAACATGAAGCTTTTGTTCAAAACCCAAGATACAAAAACATGATCTGGAAAGTGAGACCATGAAGTTTATTTATTTATTTTTCAAATGCATAGCTCTGCTTTACATGAAATTAACAACACATTGTTCTCATT